TGGCCTTCAACGTCACTACTCTGTTCATATCATAAAATAGTCCATAAAGGAACTCATCAAATATCAGTGTGACAAGAAATAGACTCTGATATACTCATTATTTTTTTATTTGTTATTTTTTATTTTTTTGAGTTGGAGTCTCAGTGTCACCCAGACTGGAGTGCAGTGGCACGCTCACTGCCATCCCAGTGTTGACCTGCTGGGCTCAGGTGATCTTTCCGTCTCAACCTTCCAAGTAGCCAGAACTACAGGCACATGCTACCACGCCTAATTTTTTATTTATTGTAGCAATGAGATCTCACCAAGTTGCCCAGGCTGTTCTCGAACCCGTGGGCTCAGGCAATCCCCTCACCTCAGTCTCCCAAAGTGCTGGGATTACAGACTTGAGCCACTACGCCTAGCCAATACTCGTTAGTGATTATCTCATTAACTGTCTGGATGTTCCTGAAAAGTTAGTTAAATTCCATTTTTCAGTTTGCAAAAACACTTGGCCAAAACATTGGCAAAACTGAAAAATGTCGCAATTATTTTGAGTACATTTTCCCTGAGCAATCACATGTTCCATTGTCAAGCAGAATTGCAGATCAAGTGTCATCCTTAAACACTTATGTAGTGAGTATCTTGGGTTGATTTCCTCAGGCTGGAGCAGTTGAAATTTGGAGGGTAGACTTGTCTCGTTTCACAGTAATCAGTGGTGAAGCCACTGTTCACCTGTGGTGGTAGCCATTCATATGGATTCATAGATCCTCATGCTTTTAATTTTAGTCTTTAGGGAAAGTGCTTACAAGCTACTGCATCTGAACTGTGCTCAAAATAAAATTTCAGGATGAAAATACAAACTTCATTGTTTTATTGACTGGAAGTGGAAAGCTGAACTTGAAAGAACCAACTTGAAATCAGTTTCCAACTCTTACTAGTCACATGATTTTTGTCTGAGTGTCAGCTTCCTTTAGAGAATAGAAATAATACGACCTCCACAGAAGGTCACTATGAGGGTTAATGAGGTAATAGAAGCAGAAGTGCTCACAAGCTATCTGCACAGTTTCCTTTGCAGCCCTTTCCTCTTCCTCTTTATTCTCTCTCTAGTCTTCTTGTAGCTTTCTTCCTTCTCCCACTTACCTTCTCTCTCCTTCTCCCCTTTTTCCTCTCCCTTTCCAAGTATTCCTTTCAGTCAGCTAATGGATTGGTATTATCACTCAATCTCAGACTGAGTAAAGAAAAATGTATTTAAATAATTTTGTTTTCTTATACAAATAAAATTCCTTTCAATACATGGTATTCTCGATTCACATTTTTTTTTGGATGATTGACAGCTTGAGGCCATTATGGAACACTTTAATCATGGGATTAGTACTAATAGTTTATTACTTTTGCATTGAGTACAATTAATGCTCGTTTCTTCCCATAGTTAATCTCTGAAAGTTAAATATGCACTCTCTATATAAGCTGCTTTATAGCTAAAACTTGGTTTAGGAAAAAGCACTTAAACAGGTTTTAAGGGTAATCATTAACTTGATTAGTGAAAAGTCCACAGTGGTTTCATGGTATTTCTTTCTACTGTCTTGAATATGGGTTTTTTGGCATTGTTTTCTAAGCGAAGATTTCATTTCTTTTTCTGAAAGGAAGATAACAGATTCTTTCAATAGAAACTATTAAAATGGCTTATTGATTACTGACTTCTAGAAAAGATCTTAGCACATTGTAATTTACTGAAAAGGGAGGTTTTGGTATTTATTATGTGACAGTAAAGGTATTCCAGTATCTGTCTTGACAAGATAATTAGGTAAAATTGCACATCAGACAACCTACTTTGTAGGCACAGAAGAATCAGTAGATGGGCAAAGGGGCAAGTAGTGTTGATTGAGAGAGATTATATTCAGAAGCAAATCAAACACAGAATTAAAACTGTTATGATTTAGTCATTGTCCATTTTATAGATGAGACTGACTTGAATACTCTGTTTATCAGGGTATTAGGAATGAAGTATAACAGGAGAACTCTTAGATTATTGCTGCTAGGAGAGAGAATTTGTAACTGTGTCATAGTATCTTGTTTTTGAAGTAGTTGTTTGTTTGGGTGCTTAACCTTCATGAATTGATGGTGGCTTTGTGATAAGGTCAACAAACACATACTTTGAGTCCATACAGATCCGGATGCTTAGTCTTAGAAAAGTCACATAACCTCTTTGAAAGGCAATTTTTCATCTGTGAGTTGATAATTACTGAGCTTTAACTTAGCTAGCAAGTAATCAGCATAATAAATGCAAGTTTGTTTTCTCTCCTCCATTCTGCATGTCATTCTACCTGCAAATCTTTGTTGTAAGAGTCATCTTGACTTTTAGGTTCAAATAAAAGCTCTTTCCTTTAAAAAAAAAAAGTCATCTTAGTGGGGTTTTACAGTTTCTCATATACCTCTTTACATTGTTTTCAGACTTCCTTTTGCATGTTATGAAGACATATCATATATTCTGTGATTCTCTTGTAGTACTGTGTGTACAGTATCGCTCAGAGATGACGATGTACACTTGGAATAGTGATAGTACCAAGAATATCTTCTGACCAGCCAGCCAATTATATTCACTATTCCTTGCACAGGCCTTGTACTTTCTTGTCTTGATACTTAATGTTTACGCTATTTCTGCTTCATTCCTTTCTATAATGCCAAACTCAAGTATTTCTTTCACTAAGCCTTCTGTTATCATGGATTCTGCCTCCTCTGCAATCATAGCTTTCAGTGATTCTACTCTTTTTTTTTTTTTTTTTTTTTGAGTAGGAGTCTCACTTTTGACACCCAGGCTGGAGTGCAGTGGCACACTCACGGCCACCACAGCCTTGACCTGCTGGGCTTAGGTTATCCTTTCTCCTCAACCTTCCAAGTAACTGGAACTACAGACGCATGCCACCACCCCCAGCTAGTGTTTTTGTGATTTATTGTAGAGATGAGGTCTCACCAAATTGCCCAGACTGGTCTCGAACCCCTGGGCTCAGGCAATCCTCTCACCTTGGCCTCCCAAAATGCTGGGATTGCAGGTTGTTGAACCACTGTGCCCAGCCGATCCTACTCTTAATTGGACTGCATCGTGTGCCCTCAATTTCCCTAGATTTTCAAACCTGGGTGAGCATAGTGCCTTGTACACAGATGACACCTAAATTTTGCTCATTGGCCCAGCTATTTGGCATTCATGAGACCTATAGTGAAGGTATCCTTAGTATCACACAATTGTCCTTGGCATTAAGAAACTAAAGATAAAGATGTAGTATGTCTGCACACAGTGGCTTATGCCTGTAATCTCAACCTTTGGGAGGCCAAGGCAGGAGGTTCACTTGAACCTAGGAGTTTTAGGTTATAGTGAGCTAGAATTACACCACTGTACTCCAGCCTGGATGACAGAAGGAAACCCTGTCTGTTTAAAAATAAATAAATAAATAAAAAATATAAGATGATCTATTCTATCAAGTAGCACATAGTCTAGTATCTAGTGAGGGAGACAGATGAGGTAATAGTTACAGTATATTCTTTGTACCATAATAGAAGGATATTCAACCTGTGTCAGTAGCTCAGAGGAGGCAGTCAGGGAAATTTTTATAGACTGAGGGCATATTTATAGATAGGGATATTTTTTGTAGATGTTTGAACTGTATCTTAATGGAAAAATAAGATTTGTCTTGGAGTGAAAGTAAAAAGACCAGTTTATAAAATTACTTGATATTTTGACTTTGTAGATTGCCTCTGTTATCCTACATATTGTCACACTCTCAGAAAAGTTTTAAAACACAATGTATATCAGGGGTCATCAAACTTTTAAAACAGGGGACCAGTTCACTGTCCCTTAGACCGTTGGAGGGGCAGACTATAGTTTTTTAAAAAAAAAAAAGGAATTTGTTCATAGTTTTTTTTTTAAAACTATAGTCCCCCCCTCCAACGTCTGAGGGACAGTGAACTGGTCCTCTGTTTTAAAAGTTTGAGGACCTCTGATGTATATTAACTTTATCGACATATACCAAAGCATATATCTTTTAGCCCTTTCTTAAAGTGATAATTTCAATAAGTGGGTCATCATATTTCGGAGGAATTGCCTTAAAACTGTGTGAAGCCTAACTTTGATGCTTAAAGGTCTCACCTACTGCCCCCAGGTGCTTCCATTGCTACTTCTGAGAGGCCTAGAAACCAGGCATTTCTGTTAGTGTGGAGGGCTGCTGGAAGGACTCTTGAAGTGCAAGCGTGTCCTGTACGCAGGGTGTTGGAATTGCCTAGACCAGAGCCTTAGTCCATGTTCTTCTGTTCAGGGAGAAGCAAAATTAATCTCTTCCCTCCCTAGCCAAAAAGCATCAACTGATCAACCAAAAAAAACATCTTATTTTTCCCCCCACAATTTAACCTTAAATAACTTTTAGAATTACATTTCAAAAACATCTAAGTTAGGATGAATATATGAAGATATGTGTTTTTACTCAAGTAGCATTATTGCAGATGATTCAAGTGAAAGTACAATTATGTCTTCTTTCCTATTTTGATTTTATTTGAACACAGTATAACGTTTACTCAATAGAGTATCAATTTAAGATTCTTGCATATAAAACTGATGCATAAAAGTTGGGTTTTTTTGCTCTCTATTTCCTAAATTCCTGAAAGAATAAAGCTGTTTACATTTCTGTAAGGAATCATAGATTTTAAGTTTTTTGTGTGACATGAATAAATGATTTATAGTGGCTCTCCCAACTGCAGGAATATAAAGTGATACCTGCTTCCCAGGGTTTCTATAGACCACCTGAGATATGGAAATTGTGTGGAGCAGCAATAGGCATCTAACACATTCATTTCTCTTCATCAAGCTGACTGGGTCCTGGTGGCTTACTGTCTTTGATGAGGCAGGAAGAAGGGACCTATCTGAAGGAACGTTTCTTCCTAGGTTCTTGTTGTTGTTGTTGTTGTTGTTTTTAATCATTTTGTTTAATAAAGAAACCAAATCTTAACACCATTTCTTTGACTCTTAATTTCAGATTGTCCACAGTAGAAATTGAGAACCGTGCCCAAGCCCTTCATCTCTTTGAGACTTTGAACACTGATCCTGAAGCCTTTCACAAGCACATGGTCAAGTATATTTACCCCACTATTGGTGGCTTTGATCATGAAAGACTTCTGTATTATTTCACTCTTCTGGAAAACTGTGGCTGTGCAGATTTGGGGAAATATACCATTAAACCAGAAACCCACATTCGTCTACTGAAGAAATTTAAGGTAGTTGCATCAGGTAAGATGATCCTTTCCCTGCTCAAACTCATTGTTTTTTCTTTTAAACTCATTCTTTTTTTTTTTTTTTTTTTGAGTTGGAGTCTCACTCTGTCGCCCAGACTGGAGTGCGATGGCCGGGGGCCACTGCAGCCTCCACCTGCTGGGCTCCGGTGATCCTTCTGCCTCAGCCTTCCAAGTAGCCAGAACTACAGGCATGCGCTACCATGCCCAGCTGATTTTTTGATTTATTGTAGAGATGAGGTCTCGCTGCCCAGGCGGGTCTCGAACCCGCGGGCTCAGGCAATCCACTCACCTCAGCCTCAAACTCATTCTTTTAAATCAAATCTAGGGATTAATTTTCTGTGTACAATCCTGTTCATGCATTATGGTTGTCAGAGCTCTGAAACCATGGAACTTTGAAGCAAATCGACCCCAGTTATTATCTTTTCAACTCCTTGACTTGCGGTTGAGGAAATTAAATACCAGAAAAAGTAAGAAACATATTGAAAGTCACACAATGACTTATGGTAGACCTGGTAGTAAAATCCAGAATTTTGGACTACTGCTCCAAGGGTTTCTTTCCTACACTCATGGGTTATATATTTCATATATATAAATGACAAGGCTGAGATACTTTAAAATAGGCAATTTGGCAGAATTCCACTTCATTGGAGACTATATGTGTAAAATATGCATGGAACATTTAAAATAAGAACATTTGAATCCTTGATAAATTGTGGAAATCTTTAGAATGGTGTCTTTATACTCCTAACTAAGAAATTAAACGTAATGCCTTTATACTTCTCAACTCTGTATGACACTTTATAATTTACAAGGCACATTCAACTCTATATATTAATTTGAATTGTGATGGTGTGCTTCAGTGTATTAGTTGTTTCTTTAGTAGTCAAGTCAGACACTGGCCTAGACACAGAGGATAAGGAATAAGGCTCAATTTTTGCCTTCAAGTAGCTGGTGAAATGCCAGACAAATAACAAATGAATATAATGCATTCTGGTGAATGCACTGATAGAGGAAAACAGGTGCTGTGGGAGATTGAAGCGACATGGAGACATTGCCATCCCCAGTGTACAGATGAGGAAACTGAGGCATGCAGAAGTTGAGTGATTTATCTAGGATCACACAGCTGATTAAGTTTCAGGCTGGGACTAGATCTCAGATCTACTAGTCTGTCTAATTTAAAATCTCAACTATCTCCTACAGCTAAATTCGTAGGTCTTTTCATTCAGCCATGCAGAGGGCTATATGCATGTTTGAAAGCTCCTATATGTTTACTTTGGAGTAAACCATTGATCTGCTTTCTTTTTTGTTTGTGATAGGTCTCAATTACAAAAAGCTGACTGATGAAAACATGAGTCCTCTTGAAGCACTAGAGCCAGTCCTTTCAAGTCAAAATATCTTATCTATTTCCAAACTTGTTCCCAAAATCCCTGAAAAGGATGGACAGATGCTTTCCCCAAGCTCTCTGTACACCATCTGGTTACAGAAGTTGTTCTGGAATGGAGACTCTCACCTCATTAAACAAGTACCAGAGTCCTCACCGGAGTGGCTTCACGCCTATGATGTCTGCATGAAGTACTTTGATCGCCTTCACCCGGGTGACCTCATCACTGTGGTAGATGCAATTACGTTTTCTCCAAAAGCTGTGACCAAGGTAACCAAAAAGATAGTTTAAAGTGGATTGAGCACTTTAGAGTAAATGAAAATTGCTCTTACATTTTGTAAATATTGTTTTTATTTCCTTTCTTGAAATGGAAAATAATTACATGTTGGCTCTTTCATTTATTTATTTATTTATTTTTTGCTAAGCATGAGATGTTTTAATTGGGAAATTATTTTCCTCTACTACAGATGTGCAAATGTTCTAAATTAGACATGACTAATTTTCATGTACCTTTTATACGTTATGGTTCTCATAATATGTCATTTAATAGTAAATACACTTAAATACTAAATAGTAAATATGTAATTTAATAGTAAATAGAATGGTATATTTACTATTAAATTCCTTCCAGTTGACAAATGTAAAGAAGTTTCAGTGCCCAGCCCAGATTACCTGCATTCAGAACCCAGGCTGACAGCTTAGCTGTGGGTATATTGAGTCCTTAAAAATGTCATGCAGGATACAACTTGGTGATGGAATTATTTGTAGGGGCGCATATCACATTTTCTAATGTCTGCACCATGCTCAGGTCTGAGCCCTTTGACTGGATCCTAATGCCTGTTCTCCACCCTCAGCAGTGTGTAGTTTCACTCAGAATCGATGTTGGCAATATAGGTTCTTCTCCTCCTCTTTCTAGCCCTCTCATCCAGACACCACTGCTGAACACATGTAAATTTTCACTGCTTGAACCCTGGTCATAATCTCTCCTGGGCAGAATCTTCAGCCTCTGCACCCAACTGCGGAACTCTGTTGCCTCGGGAGCTCACTTTTGATCTTCTGCCCATCTTTGCTATTGTCTTCCCCTTCCTCCACATCAGAAGGTCTTCCCAGTTCCTATCCCAGAGATTTTTATCATTGTTAATATCCTGGAAATAGAGTATAAAGGCTAAATATTGCAAACCATTCCTTTGGAGGTTGACAGGCAGAGGTTCAAACATATGAGAAGAATGCTAGTTTTAATCAGGTCTATAGATTAATAGTTGTAGAAAACCTAGACCTTCTTTGTTTTCTTATTATTATTTCTAATATTTGCAAATCATTTAGTTAATAACTTGGTATTATTTTATTTTATTTATTTTTTGAATTAGTATCTCACTCTGTCGCCCAGCCTGGAGTTCAGTGGCATGATCACAGCTCTCTGCAGCCTTGACCTCCTGGGCTCAGGTGATCCTTCTGTCTCAGCCTCCTGAGTAGCTGGAATTACAGGTGCCTGCCTCTCCACCTGGTTAATTTTTAAAATTGTTTGTACAGATAAGGTTTCATTATGTTGCCCAGGCTGGTCTCAAATTCCTGAGCTCAAGTGATCCTTCTACCTTGGCTCCCTAAAGTGTTGGCATTACAGATGTGAGCCACCATGCCCAGACAAAAACTTAGTTTTAAATTTTACAATCACTGCTATAAAAAAGAAATAATCATTTTTGTTTTTATTTATTTATTTATTTATATTTTTAGTTGGAGTCTCACTGTTGCCCAGACTGGAGTGCAGTGGCCGCTCCCGGCCACCACAGCCTCGACCTGCTGGGCGCCGGCGATCCTTCCACCTCAGCCTTCCAAGTAGCCGGGACTACAGGCATGCGCTACCACGCCCGCCCGGCTGATTTTTTAAATTTTATTTATTATAGAGATGAGGTCTTGCTGCCTAGGCGGGTCTCGAACCCGCGGGCTCAGGCAATCCACTCACCTCAGCCTCTCAAAGGCGTGGGATTACAGGCTGAGCCACCGAGCCCGGCTTTTTGTTGTTTTTAAAGAGAAAAATAACTATGGTTTTTAAAGGACAATTGCGTTATTTGAAAAGAGCTTCTTTGGAGTCATGTACTTCTGTCTTTGAACTCTGAACCTACCATTTATCAGCTGTGTGGTTTAGCTTCAGGAATCTCTTAGACTTTGAGGCAGAGGCTGTGACTGGGTAATCTGTGAGATAGAGAATATTGTTACCTTGATATTGTAGGTTAGGAAACATAAGCTCAACAAAGTTAAGATGGTAATAGAGAAGCCACAATTTGAACTCAAGGAAACTTACTCCAAGGACTTTTCTCTTTACCACTGAACTCTCCTACCTCTAAGAAGTTATAGAACAAGCAGTTAGAATTAAAGAACTTGAAGCCATTCTAGAAACAGTAGGAGAGCAAGTGGGACCAGAGAGCCCTGAGCATTTTTCAGTCCAGGAGGAGCAGCTGTCCTAGGATGTCTCCAGAGCAGGGCTGAGGTGAAATGATGAAGGCTAGGCAAGAACCTGGGCATGTACAGGAAGGGACAGAGCCAACTGTGGAGTTTGAAATCCAAAGAAACGTCTCAGAGCTGAGACCTGTGAACTGGCTGAAGGGGCTGAACAAGCATACAGATCAGCCAGCAACGTGTGGGAGCTCCACCTTTGTGCAGGGCATACTCCCTCTTCCACCCTCATGCTGGAGGTGTTCTTAAATATTTTATGCAAGAGCAGGAAGGAAACCATTATCAGTTCAGTCAAGGCTGTATGCTAATTGTGAGCATGTATGTGGAGGGGACAGACAGTTTTAGACTTGCCAACAGCAATTATTTATTCATGATTAAACTTAAGAGTAGGGTATAGAGTTCACTCAGGAGTTTTAGCTGTTATTTATGATGTTTTATGTCAGATGATTTTAAATTACAGCACATTCTCATCACCTTAGTTTCTTAATCTTAATATTTTCAAGATGTCTACCAGCCAACTGGAAATGTATAGCATAGTTGTTTGTGCACATATGTGTATTTTTCTGAGGAGATGCACAGCTGACCCAGTAAAGATTCAGTCTGTTAATGATTGCATTGCTTTGTCTTAGCTCAGATGGTATAATCCAAGCATGGATGTTTCTTTATTGTAAACTATTCTCAAGAGGTGGTTTTCTCCGAGCCAGGTAAGTTATAGAGAGGTGAGACAGGTACATTTAAAATTAGCTTTACATCTTTATTCTAGCCACAGTATTTTTTTTTCATTTTATTAATTGACAAGCTTTTAATTTTCCATTCAAAAAGGGTATAAAGTTCAGATAAACTGCATGTTTGAAACCACGCAATGCTGACCTATGTATATATAGAATGAGAGAGAAAGTATAAAAATCAAAATGAAACACAACCCACAGATGTCAGAAGACACATTTGGAAGAGGAAATGCATCTGGATTTGCCCAAATTTGCAAAACACCAGATGTTCCCACAGCTTGTACATGATGTTAAAAATGTAAAATAAATGTGTACTGTTCATACACAGTGTGCAGTTTTCAAATGTGTACCCACATTTAATTTAGAACAAAATTTTTTGAAAGAACTGGTAAACTAATTCTAGTGTGCATAACAAGAACTATAAGCAATTGTTTACTTATTAGAATTCAGAGAGGAATATTCCCAAAGCCAGAATTTAGTCCCCAATCCACTGGTAAAATATTCCAGGGAAGACTCTTTGTTTTCATGATAACAGTCATTTAGTTGCCATTTGCAGTATCAGAATTCTTAGAAATTCTGGGGAAAATATTCACAAATAGCATTATGTCATGTAGGCAGAGAGTGAATTTGTGTGACATTTGAGATGACTAATATGCATAAGGGAAAATACTTAAGTGTATTTGCATGAAATCTAAATTGTTTGGTTGAGTCACATTGGAGTTGCTCTCCTATTGCTTGTCAATTCAGCAATTACAAACATGTTCATAGAAGGGACAGAGACAAAGTTAGTGGGTTAGAAGTCCAGGAAAATGGTAAAAGAAGCTGAAAGGCAGGTCCAAACACGGTTTGCTTGGTTGAGACTTGATGTGGTTAGATAAGGGGGAGCATATATGTGATTTGTGTTTTCTACTTCCCACTTACTTTCAATTGCTGGTACAACCACATCCATAGATGAGTGCATGGAAAATACTTATCTCACTTATGAGAGGCTATCTAGAAGTTTGCTGGGATCCTTCTTTAAAAATCCCCAGGTAGTTATAGACTTTAAAAAGGTCCTCTAGTACCCAGTCTGGTATTTTGCCACTTGGAATTGGATAGGCATTTACACTGCTCTCCCCACCCCGCAAGTGCTCACTGCTCCAGCTCCTAACGTGTGTGGCCCATTGCCATTGTAAACCACTGTTTCTGATGGGAACATGTCTCCCTTGAGTTGGAGCAGAAAAATTGTTGCGAACTTCTTGCCTAGTCTCTCTGACCTTCGAACATCATTTCTGTTTATAATTGAGCCACTCTCCGTGCTTGCTTGTTTGGTTTGTTGACTTAATAAAAGACATATTTCTTTTACCTCCGTAAAATACTCACTGTTTGGTTCTGCCTTCTGGAGCTATGAAAACAGCATAAGAACATCTTTGATAATATTACTGTTCAGATTCGTGAAATAAGCTACTATTTTCTCCCTTATTATCCAGACTGTTTGGCATAAACATCTGGAAAAATACATTTATCTTAAGGCATGATTTGACCTAAAAAAAAAAAAAATTTGTTTCCTGAGTTTAAGTCTTGTGGTAGCTGTAATGTCAGAGTTTCTGCATTGCTAATACTGTCACTTCACTAAGGATGGCAATATATCTTTCACCATAATGAATAATCAGTCTGAAGCCTATGTAAAATGTTTAGAAAATGTATATTACCTAACTGTATGGCATAAGTCAGGTTCAGAGTGAATCATGAAGCATTTAGGTTAGCTGTGTGCCATATATGGTTAGATGCCATAGGAGACATTAAACCGTAAAAGACATGCTTGTATGAAACTTCAAATGAAGTTCTTTAAAAATTTACAGTGAAACAATTTTTAAGTTATTATAATTGAGAAGTATATTCCCCATGAAATTGAAAAAAATTTAAGGGCAGGGACGGTGCCTTCTATCTCTATTGCTATTCCCCATTTCTTAGCACAGTATAAAATAGGTACTTCTTAAATGGTTGTTTAAGTAATTAATTATTATCATAGATTGGTGGTTCTCAAAAATGATTAAGGACCCTAAAGAGATTTTGTTTATGTGGGTTATATCTATTGATATTTATCAATTA